AGCAAGTGGCAAGCACGTTTAGCAGCTATGGAATTTGTTCAATATTTTGTATTCTGTAATTTATTTAATATTCGTTCATATGTTCGACGATTACATAAACTTGTATTTACATGTTTATTCGATGAACGATTGGAAATACGTTCAATAGCATCAATGACACTCTCAGGTTTCTATCAATGTGGTTATATTCCAGTAACTGATACAGATCTGGTAGGCGAGATATTATTTTGTTTTCTTTTGATTTCTAATTGATTGATTTGAAAAATAGAAACATTTTCGATTGATGAGTAAAACAGCGTATCGTATGATTGTCAACGGTGAGAAAGTTATATCTCCCAAGGATATTGTTAAAAGACATGGTGGTAAGTAGAATTCTTCGTTTCTATGAATTCCACTATACTGTTGTATCAATTTAGGAATTTTGGGTTTGTGTGCCATTGTTCAAGCAAATCCTTACGATATTCCAGTTTATATACCAGGTACATTAATGATTCTCTGTGAACATTCACATGATCCACATCTGATACAAGTAAGTCATATCTTAGTATTATTGCTATGTATATACTTAAATTAATTGTTTATCAATTTAGCGATCTATAAAACAATGTTTGTCGGAATTTCGTCGTACTCATCATGATTCATGGCATGAACATCGAATGAAATTCACCGGTGATCAACTTGGAATTTTAGTCGATGTACTTATTTCGCATAACTATTATGTGTGAAAAAAAACACAATTGTAAATTTTTTTATTTTTAATGTAAATACAAATAATAGAAATTTGATTTGATCTTAACGATATAAATAGTGTGAATATTTCTTCTCGATCAATCTCGAATATAACCATCTTGAGGGTGATTATTTGTGTAAAATTCACTGTAAAAATTTCATTAAAACAGCAAATTATAAAAATAATAAATATAAAACAATAGTAATTGAACATTAAATTTTATCTTGATGAAAGTGATTGAATTTAATGAAATTATAGTTGATTCTAGCAAATTCTCCAAAATGCGAAAGAAAAAACCAGTAATTGATCACATAAATATTTATCAACATCATTATTTCTATCAACATGAGTTATTTATCCATGTAGTAGATTTGATAATCAAAAGATTAATTTTTGTTTTCCTGTCAAACTTTATAAACGAAAAACAGATACAAAAAAAGAGAAAAAACTCCATCGTCAAATGGTGAAAATTTTCAGATAAATCTTATTTTTGAATAATTCATTGATAGAAAGAGTATGTAAATAATATAAATTTGCTATCGAACGACATCTTTTGTAACCATGTACTTATACTTTCTAGTTTACCACAATCGACAATGACATATAAAATTATCTGTTAATTTACTAACGACGATGAGTGTCTTTTCTCCATTGTTTTTCCTCTCCTTTTGAACACACCACTTTTATAGACATTTTTTCTTGCTATTTCTTTTGGCATCGTATTTTTTGCGAGAAATATTATTACTACCAACATTCTTTTTCTTTTTTTTATTTTCCTTGTGATATATGCATCCGTATTTAGTCAAGATCAATTCTCTTTTCTTTTTGTGTTTCATAGCTATATACTTAAAATATGTACGACAGTATTGTCATCGATATGAAGTTAGTTAGCACGAAAAGAGAACAATTCTCATTGGCTAACAATTAATCAATCAGAAAATCAGAACTACGAAAGCATCATTGTAGAGTACAGGAATATGGACATGGTTGTCCTTGATAACTTAATAACAGCACGAAAATTTTGTTAATCTAAAAATCATTGAAGTAAATCTAATATTTTTCCAACGAATATACTTACCGATATTTTCTTCATTATACGATATAAATAGAGAATGAATATTGTTTGGAATCAATATCATATCTTTTTGATAGACAAAATAGAATATATCGATAAACATGAATACTATATACAGGTATAAAAGCGAAAGGAAAGAGATTGAACGAGTTACAAGACTATATTATATTGTACGTTGTTGAAATAACAATAGTAAACAAGCAATCTGTTGAATGGTTAATCAGACGAAATCTAAGCATATTCGGTATTAAAAACTGACATTCATAGGTTTACAAATAATTGGATTTTTAGAATTAATTTTTCCTTATCCGTTCTTAATGTTGAAAGATAATTTAGAAAAAGATATTCTAAAGAAAAAATTATGGCATAATATCAGTCTAGTGACACAAAAGGAAATATTGAACCGTACGTTCTAATCATATCGTTCGTACAGTTGACTGTTGACGGACACTTTCGTTATCTTCTCGATAGAATAGCATTGTTCTTTTTGATATAGCTACATAAAAGAGATAGAAAATGAAGAAAATTCGTGCGTAATTCAATTACGTATTTGCTAAAAGCACTACAGTAGTCGGTACAAACGCTTTTGTAATATAGTTGTAGAGAAAATCTTTCCTTTAGGGAGCATGGTCGAGAGAGACTGAACATACCATTCGATAGAGAATGAAATTCTGTATCTAACGAACTAGTTTAGATCAACCGGTCATACTTTGAATAGGGAAAAACAATTTCCTTTTAACTTGTTAATAGAGCATTGGAAGCTACGATTGAAGAGAGAATCTTCTTGTAAAAAAATATGACCGGGAGAAACTGACTATACTATTCGATTGAGAATTAAATTCTGTATTTAATCAGCTAGTTTAAAAGATCCGGCCATACTTTGAACAGAAAAAAAAATTATTTTAATTTTGTTAACAGTACATTGTGAGATATGATTGAAGATAGAACCGTTTTCTTAGAAAATATGGCTGAGAGAGAAGGAACATACCATTCGATAGAGAATAAAATTCTCTATCTAACAAACTAATTCAGAAGAACCGGCCATACTTTAAAGCAGAAACCTAAATTTTTCTTTGGATTTCTCAATACTACCATAGAAGATTTGATTCAAGAGAGAATCTTTACCTTAGGAAGTTTGGCCGGGAGAGAGTGAGCATACCATTCGATAGAGAATAAAATTCTGCATATAACAGACTAGTTTATAACAACCGGTCATATTTTAAAAGGAAAAAAATATTTTTTTTCTTCTCATTGATCAACAGTGCATTGGAAGCTACGATTGAAGAGAGAATCTTCTTTTTAGAAAATATGGCCGGGAGAGATTGAGTGTACTGTCCGATAGAGAATTAAATTCTGTATATAATGAACTCGTTTAAAACACCCGGTCATACTTTGAACAGGAAAGAAAAATTTTTTCTCGCATTTATCAATAGTGCATCGGAAGGTATGGTTGAAGAGAGAATATTGTTCTCAAGAAGTATGGCCGGGATAGACTGACTAAACCCCCTCCTATAATAGAAGCCCACCCCATATTAGAAGCCCCCCCGTATTAGAAGCCCACCCTGAGATGAGCAACGTGTTTGACGTATTAGAAGCCCCCCTAATTTTTCCAAAATTTTTTAAAATTTTTCATAATTTTTTCGAATTTCCCTGCTAAAGTTGCTAAAATTTCTCGATTTTAAGGTAAAATTTCGACTAACTCTATCTAACTATGCTAAAATCTGGAAAAATTGCAAAAAAACTTCTGAAAAACTCATGAAAACCTTGAAAATCTCTAAAAACCTTCCGAATCGGTTTCCTTATCATAGTCTAGGAAAATTTTTTGGGACCTAATAGAAGCCCCCTCCAAAAATTATAAACGGTAGCCAAATTAGAAGCCCAGGGGGCTTCTAATATGGGGGGGGGGGGGGTTTATGCCAATCAATAGAGAATCAAATTCTGAATCTAATAAACTCATTCACAACAACCGGCCTTAGTTTCAATAGGGAAAAAAAAATTTATTTTGATTGATGAATACTGTACTGTGAGATATGATCAAAAAAAGAATCTTTTTCTGAGGAAGTATGATGGGTAGAGACTGAATATACTCTTCAGTAGAGCATGAAATTCTGTATCTTATGACTTAGTTTAATAGAGGAGAAAATTCTCGAGTTCTTTGAAAGATGTGGTGAAATGTGGTTCGAATTTGTATGGTAACTAAGGTTGTTGAGTTGGTATTCTGTGGATTGTTGGCGGTATTTTGTGCTTGGCGTCTGATTAGATATCAGTTCTGAGAATGTGATTGGTTTTCGTGCTAACTTCACATCGATAGTATTGTCACATACGTTCTCTCGGATTCTTCTTGTTCTGTTCTGTATGTTCTGTTTTCTTTCTTGTTTTTTTCTCGCATGAACACGTGTGTTTTTTAAACAAACGATGCGATTCTTGAAAAGAAAATACCAAACGAAAGAGTAATTCAAGTAACGCTACTATTTTTTTTCATCAAGAATCATCATTTTTTCTATCATTTATACCTACAACAATCTTCTTAGATCATATTATTCGACAACTTTTGTAAGAATACAAAATGATTTTTGTCTGCCGTTAGAATTTATGATTTGATATAGCTTATCATTATTATCAGATAATAAATATTGAAAATTCTTTTATATACTATTTGGCAGAACATTTTGAAGAAGTGTCACATTTGTGTTCTTTCTCTGTAGCTCCAGAAATGGGACGATCTTCGACTGATGAGCTTGTAGACAATATTACTTCGAAAGCGAACTATATCAAGGAACTACCACGACGTATAGACTCATCTATGACTGCAGCAGTAACTGAATGGAAATCGTTAGTCGCAAAGGCTTGTTTACCACTTGTTTTAGAACTAGCGCCAGATTCAAGTGATACCACAGCTCAGCTACCAAGTAGTGACTACATGATTGATCTGCGTGCTGGTATTAACGTATTACCACGACGATTCGAGTCACAACGAAAACCGATTGATGCGGAAGCTAAACTCCTCCAAATTCAACATGAAAAGAAAATTGAACAGAATGAAATCAAATGTTACAAAATGAACGAGAAAGGAGAACAGTTTCAATTTAAATTTGAATCTTCACGACCCAGTTTGCTTTTTTCAAGCCGGAAAACATCGCACGAATCATCTAAATTTATTCAAGAATTCCGCAAATTTACTTTTCCAGACAAAGTTCTAAACAACCAAATAACAATTTACGAACCGAAGCACTCATTTAAATACTGTGCATATCCTAACTGTAGTAGCACGAATGGAATTAAGGACAATATTACTCATCTTCAACTATGTGAAAATCATGAAAAAGAATTAAAAAATAATCTTGATTCCCAGTGGATTCCACCACAAGCTTTGGAAATTTATAACATAATTAAAGCTCAAGGAGAGAAGGATTGTGAAGAGAATCATCATCGAATTTATTATCAATTATTACCACAATTAAACAAATGGATAGAAGAAATTGATAATATGATACCAACTGACTGTTCCGGTACGGGTTCCCATGTTTCTGCTACTGATGCTTGGCTGGTTCTTCAATTACGACCAATACGTCAACTCATAATGCTTATGAAGTCGTTCATTTTTATTTATCGCATGTATCTGAATCCACATCCTGACGTTATTGCGGCTCTCATTGCCTTATTTATACACGTCACAGAAAGTTGTGCGGTGAGAGAGACTATTTGTCAAGAAGTCACCAAAATGATTCGATCATTTTGTGGAATCGTTAGCAGTATATTTAATTACTTTGGTATTGGTATTTTGTATACATTAGATATGATAATTACTGATGATGCATATCTAGCCATTATCTTGAAAGGATTAGGACTTACATTAATGGTCATAGGTTGGAGCCTGATTTCTGCAGCTTTTGCGCCAATAATCATAGTTGGTGGGTCTGCTACAATCGCTGTTGGTGGAGCTGTTGCCGGAATTGCTGCCATCGGTGCTGGTTTGACTTCTGTTACTATTGGCCGTCGAATGGGTGAAGAACGTGAGAATCGTAGCGCGCCTGATCCACGTCTGATTCAAGTTCATTTGAATCTGGCACTAGCCAGGGAAAGATTATGGCAATGGATAGGAAACGAATAACCAAACACTGAATTCATTTTAATCTGCATATTTAACTAACACTTTCTTTGCGCCTTAGCTTTTACTTTGAATACATAATAAATATATTGAAAGTCAAAAATATTACTTTTCCACATTTTTCGCTCTAATATTCAGCATGTATAGGAATCAGTCATATATTGATAGTCATGTTCGAATTACATATGATGAAATATTTAAGAGAAAAAAGCAGAGATATGGCAGAAAAAAGTAAAAGTACAGTGACAAATATGAATCATTCTCTTTAACTTATCGTAGATGTTATAAAAGAAGAAAGAAGAAAAGACATACATTCGAGAAAAAATTTTTATTTTATTTCACTAAAAATAACTATAAGTATAACAACTATTTTCTTTTACTCTTAAAAAATGATTGAAAGTTTTTCGAATGAAATGATACAGGAAATATCTAAGTATCTAGGTAATTATTATGTTTATGAGATTTTTCTTGATTTAAATATACGATTTCGAAATCTTTTTACTTTATCAAATTATACAATACGATTCATCTATCAAAATCCTCATTTACTTAATATTTCAAATCCATTTACGATCAATTTTATATTTTTTTTTTGGTAATAATCAAATGTTATATACTCGACATCAAATACTTTACTTAGATAATATAAAACAAGTATAGATCGATGATCTTTCTCACTATTTATCTTTATTACCACAACTTTTATCATAAAGCAGAGATTTATGAACATATAATTCATTTATTAGTATTAAGATACTTTAAATTATCTTGAGGGTGACGGTGTGGATACCGAAAGAACTATATTCACCCTCACCAACCTTTTTATCGCATAATGTATAATGAATAGGTAAAAACATCGAGGTATTCTCATTTCGATAGCAACTTTTAACAAAAATATTTTGATTATGACTATTTGATTGTCAAGCAATGAACGACAATTACTATAAATAACAGAATAGAAGTTAAAGATGATGCTCTCATCTTTACAATTCTGGATGCAAATAAAAGATACTTTACAGATTTAAAGCAAAATGTTAAAGTATCTAAAGCGCCACCTTTCATAGGTTTTATCCTTTAAGAAGAAAATACATGTCCATATTTTAGTGCGATTCTGTTACAGGAACTATGGTAATGAGTACTAATATTGTTTTTGATACACACACATATGTACGATGATTTACAAATCTAGTTAAAGAGTAGGTGGTATTCGAGCTTCACTCGAGTACAAAATGCGATGCAAAGCAAAAAGTAGCATGGTGCTGGAATGAAGAATATAAATTATTAAAAACAAATGAATCTTTCTAGCACTGCCTATGTATCACCATATGTTCTCTCAGTTATAAAACATTTAGTTGAACAACACATTGTGTCTAACTTTTCTTTCTGAAAACTTAATTTTTGTTATTCGTGTCAGAAAATGAGATTTTTAAATACATACATCGAAACAGAAAAAAAGAAAACTCGCGATTGGTCACATAAGTGACTCGCATTTGACCTCACGCACTTTGCATCTGACCGTATAGAAAAAAATAAAATACAGTTCATATATCTATGACCTCTAATAGCTAAAACAAACAACACAATGGTTGATACACTACCAAATGAAATTCTCGAATATATTTTCTTATATGTTGAACCATGTGATCTGTTCAGTTTACGTGCTGTTTGTTGGAAATGGTATGAATTTATAACAAACGAATATTTTCTTAATAGATATTTTAATAATCGTTTCGGACAACACGCAAAACAATTCGTATTCAATTGGGTTGCTTATACTACTAAACCAAATATATATTCGTGAGTATTTAATTCTTTTTTGAAGATATATCACTTGTATTTCTATTAATCAATACTGATTTTTCAAATAATTTGTAGGTATTTTCCTAAACTAACACAAGGTGTCAACACTAAATATTCAGTTCCTGTACACTTACAAGGAAGTGGCGATGTCGTATTGTATGATATTCGTCGCTGTATGGCAGTTTTACCAGTACTTACTTGTTCTTTTCATAATCGAGATTATTCCATTAGTATGTGGCTTCATCTTGATTCAAACTTTGATACAGTTTCATTTACTATGAAATTGAATGGATTTATGTTGGAACTAACTCTTAGTAAACAGAATTGTCAACTATTTTCTTCATATGCAGGTGTTTTTGAAGCAGAAATACAAATAAATATACCAAATAGCTGTTGGTTTCATATTACATTAACATATTCATCAAGCTTTCAATTGTATATCAATGGAATTCATCATACCTTTGTCTATATTAAAAGATCATTGAGTGAAAATGAATTATTAACATACAAGTTTTATGCCATGCATAATGGATATATATATTTGGTCAATTCATATAAAGATAAATTTTTATCGGTATCCAGATGTGCTGATATTCAAATCTTACCATGTGCTTTATCTGTATTTGAAATTCGTAGTATTATTAATCAAAATACATGTATGAAACAGCTGAATATGGGTCAATATTTAATTAATCGTTGGAATGGAGCCCATTGATATTTCAATTATTTCTCTAATTGTATCCTTCTCTAAGAAACATTTTTGTGTTTTTTTTCTAAAGAGTATTAAAACTGTTATATTCATTCTTTTAATCAATAAATATACATATACACCCAAGATTACATTAAGTATTAACAAAAATATCATAACTCGTCTATAAAAGGCAAATACAAAACATAGATTTATATATGCGATTGCTTTTGTCCAAGCAAGCGCATACTTATCGGACAAGCAACATCGTTTTTATGTTCTGGTTAGAACCAACAAATTTAAAAATTAAACATATGTATTTATAATTAAATTCCTTTGTTTAGATCGTGTGAAAAAGGATTGACATGGGAATAGTTTGGTATTAATCTTAATCTACAATTTTTCTTGTATTTTAGTAGCATATATTTAATACTTATTGTATTGAAAATCAAGACATTGCTTCAGTTTCAATCTCTCGTTATTGACTTTCCTTGCAACTAATAAAATTATTTAAGGGTGTGAGTGTGAATAGATTATGCGATGATAGGCACTCATACTCAACAGAGCCTGCTCAAACCTAAAGGCGCAGTTGCCAATATTAATTGAAACTTATGATTCTTAAGGGACGGAGATATGATGAAGATTTTTTCTACAAGTTTACCTTTCTTATCTACGTGATGATCACTTACAGGCTCTGAATCAAAAGAGTACACCACGAAGAATGATAACATCTATTTTAAAGGTGTTTCAAATTTTATATCTACCAATTCGTGATGATTCACTCGATATTTACCAATAACAAACATGATTCAACACGTTTTTTTCTGCGTTATAATAAATAGCTGAAGATAAAAAAGTTCGAAAAGAAGTGGATGCCTATAAAAAAGACCGTTTTTCATCATTAATTCACTAGTAAGTTTTACATAATAACTTGAATTCAAAGCATTCACGCAATCAACAATGGGCAAGGGACAATCAACAACAAATACATCTGCAGTTTCAAAAGGTGTTTTCACAGATATTACACTCATCAGTGAATCACTCAAGGAAGTTGCTCATCAATGTGAACAAAATGCTATTCCCATGAGTTTTGTGGGAACATATAAAAAATTGAATGAATTAGATCCTTCTTTTATGTACACTCAAATCATCAAAGAAATTATATTAACCATCAAATTCAAACAAAACCACATTCAAGATTATTTTGATTACTGTCGTGATGCTTTCAAAGATAATAAAAAAGAAATTGAAAATATTAAACGATTGGAAACTCATTATCATAATAAAACACCTATTTATTGGTATACTTGTGACATGTTCTTGTATCCTATGCTCAATCGTGCATTACGATTGATGAATTGTGATATCATTACACGTATGGGTTTCTTCATTTGTGATTTGTATCAACACATCGAACAACTGCATCAGGAACAATATGCTGGTAGAACTGCTGCAGACACCTTTACCGTCTATCACGGTCAAGTTTTATCTACAGAGGATGTTGAGAAAATGATGGAAGACAAAGGTGGTCTTATTTCTTTTAACAATTTCTTGTCTACGAGTAAAGATCGGAACACATCACTACGTTTTATTCAAGATGCTACAATTAATTCAGATCAAGTAAAAGTTATTTTTATCATGAAAATTAATCCTGGAGAATCAACAACACCATTTGCTTCCATTCCTAGTATTAGTGACTTCGAAGAAGAAGAAGAAGAAGTCTTGTTTTCCATGCATAGCGTATTTCGTATTCAGGATATTAAGCAGATGGATGGAAATAATCGTTTATGTGAAGTTAATTTGACACTTACTGCTGACAATGATTCGGAATTGAACAGACTTACAGATTACATTCGTCAAGAAAGTTATCCAGATGAAGAGGGATGGTACAGATTGGGATCAGTACTAATTAAAATGAGTCAATCTAACAAAGCTGAAGATATTTATCAAGTTTTACTTGATCAAACAAACGATGATGAAGATAAGGTACCTATATATCATCGACTTGGTGCGATGAAACATAATCAAGGAAAACATCAAGAAGCACTTGCATTCTATGAAAAATCTATTGCTATCAAACAAACAACTCTTCCTCCCAATCATCCTGATTTGGCTAAATCCTACAACAACATTGGAAACGTCCATATAAACATGGGTAATTATCCGGAAGCGCTTTTATCTCATGAAAAGGCTCTTGAAATCAGACAACAATTACTTCCATCGAATCATCCTGATTTGGCTTCTTCGTATAACAACATTGGCGCAGTGCATTACAGCATGGGCACCTATCCAAAAGCACTGTTATCTCATGAAAAATCCCTTGAAATCAGGCAACAATCACTTCCGCCGAATCATCCTGATTTGGCTTCTTCCTACAACAACATTGGCAATGTGCATTGCAGCATGAGTAACTATCCGAAAGCACTTTTATATCATGAAAAAGCTTTTGAAATCAGAGAACAATCACTTCCGCCGAATCATACTGATTTGGCTTCTTCTTTCAACAACATTGGTGCAGTGCATAACAGTATCAGTAATTATTCGAAAGCACTTTCATCTTATAAAAAAGCTCTTGAAATCAGAGAACAATCACTTCCTTCTAATCATTCTGATTTAGCTTCTTCCTACAACAATATTGGTTTAGTGTATTACAACATGGGTAACTATCCGAAAGCACTTTTATATCATGGAAAAGCTTTTGAAATCAGAGGACAATCACTTCCGCCGAATCATACTGATTTAGCGTCTTCCTACAATCACATTGGTTTAGTACATTACAACATGGGTAATTATCCAAAAGCACTTTCATCTCATGAAAAAGCTCTTGAAATCAGAGAACAATCACTTCCTTCTAATCATTCTGATTTAGCTTCTTCCTACAACAACATTGGTGCAGTACAGTACAGCATGGGCAATTATTGTAAAGCACTTTTATCTTATGAAAAAGCCCTTGAAAGAAGGCAACAATCACTTCCCCCTAATCACCCTGATTTGGCTTCTTCCTATAACAACATTGGTTTGGTATATGAAAATCTCGGTAATTATGCAAGAACTCGTACATTTTATGAACATGCTATACAAATTGGACAACAATCATTACCTTCAAATCATCCTCGTCTTCAATTATATAGAAATAATCTCAAAGACGTACAAAACAAATGATGAATTGTATTGCTATGTGTTTTATTTTTAAGAATAAAAAAAATAAATTTTTAAACGAGAAAATATTCGTTTTAAATACGTGCGCGTACAGAGAAACTCTATTCCTGTTGAGAATACAAATGAGTGGTAGCATATTGGGTGTGGGCAGGTGTGGGTGTGGGTGTGGGTGTGGGTGTGGGTGGGTGTAGGTGAGGGTGGATTCCCTAGTCGTTCATCACCTACATTCATTATCCACACTCACCCTCTCTCGATCGGCCTCACCCACATCCATCCATATTGAATACCGAAATACCTTATTTCGACTACACTCGAAAAAGAATTCTTTTCTCTTGTGTGCAAATTCGTTCCTACCGTGGTGAGAAAAAAACCACATTTGTGTAACTTGCATCGGCAGTACTCATCACAGCCAAGTATGTGCGCTTTTTCTTTCTCTTCTCATGTGTTTGTTGTTTTGTTACAAATTCCGGGAATTCATTTTTATTATTGTGCCCCTGGTTTGGTGTGACATCTTATTTTGTTTACAATTTACTCCACTCACAAGAGAAATCTGGCAAGGCTTTCCTTTTTCTCTATCCTCATGAGTAACCTTCATCAGTGAAAGCAAACAAATCAAAAATAACAAATCAAAAATGAAACTGCGCAACTATATGAATCTTGTGCAACTATAAAAAGCGAATGTGTCTTTACAGAGCGACACATCAGTTGATTCAACTACACGAAATACAAGCAAAAGAAGAAGAAGAAGAATGACATTCAACTTGGTCACTTATGGATTCGTCCCTGCTGGATGTAAGTACAAAGTTTTCCGTTTTTCTTTTCTCAACTGAACGTTACTTGAAGACACGCCTGGTATGGTTCTCGTACATCCAATTATTCAACCTAGTAAGTTTATTTCATCCATGTCCTAATCTATCTCATTTGATATGTCCTTCTCTAAAAAGCATCGTTCTCGTTTCCTCCACCCACGATGTGGTCAGCTCGAGTCACCAACTATTCGGAAAATCTGCAAGCGGGCCGCGTCGCCAATGTTAAGGTTGAATTGTTGGAAAACAACCAAGTCGTTTATCAACGAACAATGACCGAGAATGAATACAATAGCTGTCAGTAATAGTAGTGCTCACGACCTTCATATCAAGCCACTCATTTTCCTTTCTAGCACGTAGCTCCTCAAACGCCACGAAGTTGACTTGGCCCAATTTCGTACGCGTGTTACGAGTGTTCATGTTGGGGAATCAACAAGAACGAGACACAGACATTGAGCAAGCATTTCAGCTGCTCGACACTGAAGGAAAGTACGGTACCAAAGGCTTATCAGACGGTAACATTTCATCTGCAGAACTACGCGTATTTCTTGATGCCATCTGTCCACAGGTAAGCTGGGTGACTTGACAATATTGCTCTGATAATTATTTTGCTCTCAAAGGGATATGGTGACATTTGCATGCGACTGGCCGATACGAATCTAAGTGGGCAGATCGACAAAATGGAATTCGCTCAAATGATCAAATCGGGTTTGGCCCGTGATATTGTCTGTGGACGCTTATAATCGATTGGAACGGATGATGAAACAACTTCCGTTCACCTTTCATAGTATCTTATTTTATTATCGATATGTTTTCTTAGTCGTGTGAACGTTCTTTGCATTTTCAATAATAAAGAATATCTTGAAAATAAACGAAAGAAAAAACTAATGTCTTATTTTTAGGGTGTGGGTGTGGGTGTTAGTTAAGTAATATAACATACAATCACCCACCCCACACTAACACCAACACCCAGGTTTTCATTTAATTATCAATAAATGTCTCATAACACTGAATCTTTTTCGAAAACCAACCTTACATGCACGATTATGAAAACTTATCGACGCGAGAAAATATGAAGATTTTTTTAGTTGCTTGGTCATATTTCAGAGATGTCCATCGCGGTTGAGAATCTGCGCTGCCGCGACAGTATGATAAAAGTTGCTGCCGCGCCGCGAACACCACAGCGACAGCGCTGCCATGGACATCTCTGTCATATTTCACTACTTGCAATAACACTGTCTCGCGCTTTCTGTTTGACAAAGTTGTGTTGCAAAAAATGTATTTTTTTCCATTTTTAAGTAAGCAAATGTGTAAGCGACAACTCTTTCTTTCTTTGCTCGCTCCGATACGACAACCTACTCAAGTACATGCATCGGCCAGATTGAAAAAAAAAGGAAAAAAATTGAAATATAAAAGAAAGGACGAAGGAGACGGTGCACAAATGAAGCTATTAGGCATAAATAGTTGAAGAACACATACGAAGTCATGTGCTCCTTCAGCCTGTAAGAATATACTTGTTTGTGGGTAATTTTATTATATTTCAGATTTCTGCTCGCTGAGAAACGTAAAAACAACCAAACTACAACTGCAAATTACAACAATTTCTTCGCTCAATAAACGTAAGACAACGAGTAAAATTGCAACGTGATAAATTCAAATATTATTCAGGGTAGACATATATCGAGCCTGAGTAGCTCGAGCTTAATTAAACTCGGGCGCATCCTTGGTTTTCTCCTTCCCAAAATACGTCTTAAGCATTGTGTTCATTCATGCATCATAGTCAAAGGGTATAAGGGTGTACAATGCAGTGCTATTGAAGCATAACAGTAAAAATAATAAAATAAATATAAGACGACAATATTTAGACAACCGACTCCGAGATAAATTGAGATAGGCCGATCTCGAGCCTAGTCGAGACTGAACCCGTGCTGCTCGATTTAGGTTTGAGCTCACTCCATACGTAACTCAGAGGTATTGTTTAGATAAATGTTTGCTGAAAAAAAATATCATTATTGAAAGTACCTATGAGATACTTCTTTTTATCAAAATGTATAATCAATATATTTCAATAAAAAAGACCTTATTATTAAGTACTACTTCGAACTTTGTCTAAATGCTTTTTAATAATTAAAATAAGATGCTTCGATGAGTGGGAAAAATTCAAGGATATGATGAAAAGAGCCATGTTTGAAAATGAAACCCATTAGCGACAAACAAATGTAATGTTTAATTTTGACAGTGAAAAATGATTCATTCATAGCAATAGTATTATAAAAAACCGTTCACTCTTATTCAAATAATCTGTGCGACTATTCTTTACGAAATTGTTGAGTATTAATTTATTAATAACAATGAAGTACATGCCAAATATTCGTTGTGGAGGTAGAATCGGTCTTGTCTGATTGGATTTTCCGACCGAATCCGGTTTATGCCGATTTTTGCAGCAGTGTTCAGATTTCCAAAAATGAAAATTTCGGAAATTTTGGAAATTTCAGATGTGTTCTGGATGTTTCGTTGGTTCAAAATTTCCAAAGTTTTCAAATTTGTTTTTGAGCACTGCTATGCTCTCTTGCTTCACACCCTCACCCTCTATGAATTCTATCTCAACATTAGATTGTGTTAAGAGTCTTCTACAAAGTTGACTCTTATAACTTTCTTTTCGATTTGGATTCTATTCTATCCAGAATCTACTAATCTCGGACTTCCCTGGTGAGTTCCTCAAGCAAGGACAATAACGCGTCGTAAGTAGCTTGCAATCATTCTTATAAAATCATCCCCTCACTCTAGTGTTCTGATGTTACTACAACATCGTGAATAAGAGTACTCTTGTACTATGTCAAAAGATTCTTGTAGCGCATAAAAAGGATTTCCAAGTCCTCGTGCAGCAACAACAGTTCAGAGTAATAATCTTAATTTTTACTAATGTCCTAATGCATACTGTTTGCATGTAGATGTTTTGATACGCAGTTATATTTATAACTGGAGTGAAAATCGGATAGTTTGAACAGAAAGAAGTTTCTCAGAATATGTATGTGTTTATTCGAGCTATTTTGTCTTCGGACAAAAGAAAGAAATGTATGATTTTCGTTAACGAAATTTTGATACACAAAAGAATAGCAATTTTCTTACCCAGCTTTTTTACACAAAAGTAAATCAGAGTGTTACGTGTTTGTAAAAAAAAAAAGGCAAATTCAGTTGATTGTTTGTCATATAAATCTATTCGTCACACAGTCTGTATTTCTCACGTTGTAGATAACTTTCTGACACAATAGTTTCTGCGTGAATTTGCAGAGTAATTGAATGGCACAGTCAACATCACTTCAAGTTGTTTGGCTCGATTCGACAGTTCATGATAATATAAATAGAGAACTTTTGACAAGCATACGTGAAATTAATCCTGAAGCAATGGAATTCGATAATCAAGATGAATGTCTACGATTTCTAGGAAACGGCGTAGATGAGCCAAGGCGATTTATCTTTATTGTGAGTGGTGTTATCGCTGAAAAATTAGTGCCTGATATACAACAGCATAAAGATATCTTATCCATTTATGTTTATTGTGCGCACATATCCAAGCATGAGGAATGGTCCAGACAATATGAAAAAGTAGAATACTAACGATATTATGTTTTTTATATATCCATTATCAATATAGGTCAACGTCGTTACTTCAGCCGAACAAGTGTTGCGAGGAATTAAGTCAGATCAAAAGCGTTTTCGGTCTAAATAAAGTGATGATCTACGAAGCATTCAATGCGTGTTCAATAATTAAGTTTATGACTATCGAGCACTGATGCGAAATGCTTTATATATTTCTCCCTAATAAATAAAAGAAAGGACCATGCATTTGAGGAACAGGGTGTGAGTGTGAGTGTGGATGAGGGTGTGGGTGTGGTCATAAATACTTTCTGTTCACACACACCCATCCTCGATAATCTGATTTTCCGCTAAATTGGGGTAATATTTTGACTGAATTTTCTTCTCATTTTAACTCTAAACACGAAAGCTAAAGCGAAATTCATGTTCAGAGTCGAAAAATAGTTTTACTCAACATTTTATTTTTTGTTCAGCGACAGTCAAATGAAATCCAACTAAATATTATGTTCAACAGAATAAAGAATAGTCCATCGAACGATAATCTACTCGACTTATTTGGAGGCGGTATTACTATTCCCCAATAATTTGTTGTTGAACTACCGAACATTTGATATAATGTTGCATTAACAATGTAATTTGAATAAAGCCAATCGATTCCAAACAAATTTTCTTTCAAACTGCAATTGCAATCGATTGTTTCCAAATCTAAATTCAATTCTTGTTGATACAAAAATTGAACTATAATCTGATCTGTACATGTTGTCGATCCAACTACAGCATTTTTCGTGTACGATTGAAAACTAGTAACATGCGTTAGATCTTTCATTTCGACCAATTTTGTTCGAATATGTTCTAATTGAAATAATAGTTGAGTTTCTTGTGCACCATACATTGGTGTATTGTAATCTAAATCGCCATTCAGCATTAATACACCACCTTCATGTGACCTAAATATTTCTGGATTAACTTTAAAATTACCCCAATAACGTGGATTTTTTGGATACAAAATATCTTGAAATACGGATGGAATAGAATAATTTGTTTTTGATATTTGTGTTTCACGACAAAGTGGTATTGGGCCAATTGGTGCGAAAGAAAATTCATTTGTGACATTAACATTGATGCAAAAATCATTGAAAAAAGACGGATTCGTTTTGACATTCTCATCCAAAGTAAACCCGACAAAATCACTCCACACTGTTACAATACTTACAACCATGCCATCAGCCGAATCCATATTGGGCGGATCGATCAATGGTGGAGATAAGGATTGTTCTGCCACTGCAATCAAAATTGGCAACGCATGAGATAAAACGCGTTGATCTTCAGCAGAACAACGATATACACGAGCAATAAGAATGGCAGCAATTGGCCGAGCAGTGATAAGTTCTATTCCTTGACTGGCAATAAGAGAAAATAACATCCAACTATTCAATCCCAAGTTAGTTGTACAGAGAGGATTAGTCATGTTAGTCAAAAAGAGTCTTTGCAATGTTACTGTTACACCTATAATATCCTGATCAGTACCAGTGACAAGATTGAAGACTTTCGAACATTGAATATCATTTTGACATTTTGATATATACATATAAAATCGATTGCTTATTGATTTAATTTGATTTTCAAATGAATCTCCCTTTTTTATTGACATGACTCCATCAAGAATTACTCCGTTGATCTGTTGTAATTGAGAATTGATCGACTGAATTGATAAATAGTATTGAATGATGGCTGTACCTATATTAGAAACGAAAAGAAAATTATTGACACACAAAGCATGTCATTGCAACTAGGCGATAGAAGTAAAAAACAGCAATTCATATATAAATACGATTAGTGACATAACTATCCGGATGGTGGGCCTGATGAAAAGACATTTTGTCCCCTTCTAGTAAATTCCTGACTATGCTACTAGATATGATATTTTAATAAAGTCAAGCAAGATTAAAATGATCGAATTACTTATGTTTCACACGAGGAGAAGCATTTTTTGTCTATCCTCTTATACCTTGACTTAGCCCGTAGATATAAGTTGATGTGGAACATATTGATTGCGACTGATTCATCGAATATTGAATTTGATATTGTAAATCTTGGGCAATATTTTGATTTGATATTGCATGAATTATTCTCAATGATTCATTCACTGATGTTGGTACTGTTGTTTGAATTAATTCTTGTGCACAATCAATCCAAGTTGTCGCTGTATGACAATGTACGGATGGTATACTTAAGCCTGCTCCTCTGTACTGAAATAGATACATAATAGGATTCGTTTGATGATATTTCTCATGGTAATGATTCAAAATAATTTGTTTCAACATTGATATTCCAAATGATTCCATTAAAGATTGAGAACCACCAGCACCATTGACAAGCCAATAATTGATTATATGTTTTACTGTTGAAGTATTTCGTGGCGGCAAATTTGATATAAACAAACGTTTCATGTGTAGGTCTGTGAGTGGAATCGTTTTTGTTGAATTATAGTAGAGACCATCGAATGTGTTTGGATTAAATTGATTCCATTCGAGTGGACTGGTTAGATACGAGCATTCAGCTTGAATTATGATGTTATCTGCGATCGTTTGATTGAAAGATCCATCGTTAAACGGACAAGAATGCCAAGCCAAAGTAATCGAACATAAATTTAAAATAAAAAATAACCGTACATTCATTTTGTTGATTATACGTTCCTGTTTCTTTGTTGACGTGAAAAGAGATATAACAGATAAATTTCGTTGCTCTACAGAATGAGAACAAGATAAAAGTGTGCGTGCTGCATCCGAATGCGCGCAATATTTATTTGTCCTTTGAAAGGGACTGTTAAATAATGACGTCAGATAGCCTCTTGAAGAGATAACAAATAAGAACACGCCATTCGTAAATTGCCGATAGATGTGATATTCAAATGTGATACGATTTTGCGTGCATTAAGACGATATTCTCTTTCTCTATTATCTAATCCCTTTAATACTAAATGGTACATGAACAGCGATTTATATTCTCAATTTGATATCTTCCCATGTCATCAAAATCGCCAAGATTTGTGTGATGAATCGCGATTGTAAAAAAATTGTCGATTATTCGCGATTAATCGACGATTTTTGCTACATTGCTATAAGAGTGCAACCAAGTTAGCGTTTTACTTAATCTATTATGTTCTGATCAAGAGAAAGGAAAATAGGAATTCTGAACACTTTCTTAAGCTGCAACTGATTTAATAATAGATGTCACATGCTATAGAATATATATATTGAGATCTTTGTTTTAATCCTGTATTTCTTATATAGATATCTTGAGATCTTTCTTTTAATTCTATATTTATTATATAGATATGTCGAGATCTTTGTCTTAATTCCATATTTATTATATAGTTGTGTTAATATCTGTATAGAGGGGTGGGTGTGGTTTCAAATTGTCTTCAGCCGTTCACACCCACACCCTCAATCGTCGATTTTCACCCGATCTTGACGACATGGGTTCACACATAAGAGCGAGGATAAGCTTGAATAGAATAATTTCAAGCTACTTATGACGCGTTTCGACCTTGTTTAAGGGTCCTCAATGGGTAAATTCGGAATCTTGCATACTCTACATATCAATCTTAACTCAAATCAAATCCAGAAGTTTATGAAAGTCATCGCAAAGATAACTTTCAACTGTTCTATGGAAACCATTTTGTTTCAGATAATAGTACAATTTTGAGGTGAAGAAGTTTTAGGAAAGAAAAAGGGGGAGAGCTTAATGATATTCCTAAAAATACGGATATCGTACGGTTTCCTCGAGATATCGCCCAACCCCACAACTTTAAACCGTACAGCGGTTTCTCTAAACAAGGGTGTGGGTTAAATATAACACATACATTCACACCAACCCACACACTGAAGATTTTTTTAAACACACGTGTCATATCTCTATAGTCAACAAGAGAAAAACAATGTCATTGAAGCGTAACTTTCGTATATCTATAGCTGAAAAGAAGAAGAAATGGACATATTATGTTTTATTCAGGTATGGCCGTTATATAGCCATAGACAGCATGAAGGAAAATAAACATTTTCAAACATAGATCCTTTTTTTAGATATAACTGTCATGTTTTAAGCACGAAAACAAGAAGCAACAGAATTTTGGAAAGAAAATATCATATATTCAACCATTGCATGACTGAGAAGCAATTTTAACAAAATATATATTCACGGTATGCAAATATTCATTACGTAATAGACAAAGAAATATTCTCACATAGAGCCATCACATGTTTCACAACCGAGCTTTTTATCTTTTTGATCAACAAATGCAGCAGATAAAATACGATTTTTAGTAAACGATTCGATTTCAAAATTTACATGATTTAGTCATTTACTAAATTTTTTTATTTCACTTGCAATTTGCGTAATGTTTTTATTAAGAACATGATCTCTAATAATAGAATATTCACTTCTTAAGATTATTCCAATAAGTAATCAATCCATTTTTGAGATAAATAGATTATTTTTCTATGATTGAATACATCAACTTCATCTCTAATTAGAAACGTAAAAGAGTTTTTTATTTTGAACGATGATTGAGAAAAATATAAAATAACAAAGAGTGTTGATACACTTATCTTTATTAGAAACTTTGGCAACATTTATTTATATTACAATAATGGAAAATAACTCCAGTAGTCTTTCGAACCAGCGATTAATTTATTGATCCACAATCGTTTAACGTTAGCACAATTGCGTCGTGTTGTTTGTCTTGTGAAGTCTTGTGTAATATATCTTAACTCGTCGTAAAAAACTTTTAATTCCGTCAAAGACGGTAAACGTGTTATGGTTTCATTTAAAAATTGTTCGAGATAAAATATACTAGCTGTAATAGTAAGAATACTAAGATGTGGATATTCAACAATTTCATACGGTTGTATAACGTTATCAAATGATATATGCGTTTCATATGACCATGGTCTCGAATTTAACATACAAAGTCTTTTAAGTTTTGGAAAAGCTTTACTTATTCGTAGAAAAAATTCATGTTCAAATGGAACTTGATCATATAGATATAAGTCTATAACATAGTTGAATGTAATACTTGGAAATATATTACCAACATATAAGAGACGAGTAAATTGAAAAGGAAGCGTAAAGATATGATATACAATTGTACGATTTACATTTTGCACAAAGTCCAATATTTCCTGATTTCCTATCCTAACATAATTTTGTTTAATATTATTATTAGACAAATAAGGAAGTAAATCATTCTTGTTATACTGTATACCAAGATAAAAATTGAAAGAAGTTAGTCGTAGTATATGCATTGTTAACTGCTTGAGAAGATATATTGGATCAATAAATGTAGTTTCGAAGAGGAAACTCAAATGTAAAGTTAATTTTTCGAGGTTTATCATACGACGAAGATGAGATAAAATTTCATTGAAATTTTCTTTAAATGTACCATAATGTATTAAGGAAAAACATTTCAGATTAGGCAAATCGTTCTACAAAAATAAATAATATTTTTATAAAATCCAATAAACTGAAAAAAACGTATTAATATACTTACTAAATTATGAGTGATTGATGAATCGGTATCCATAAGACGAAATTCAACAATCAATGTATTCAAATTTCTAAGACGACCATCAAGTAAATAAACAAAATCATCAAAAGTTGACACAATAATACAGAGATATGTAAGTGTAGAAGAAGAAAATGTATTCGATGGTAAAAAAGAAAGAGACAAGCTTATATAAGTAAGATCAGGTGGCGAAATAACATTTAGATGTTGTAATTTTTCGCAGTGACTTAAAATAGGTGCATATACTGTTTTTGTATAAAGTTTTGACGATCCTGACAGATATCCAGATTTATTGTAGAAAAGATCCAGCTGTGTAATTTGTTGTTTCAAAATCTGTCCAATTGGCGAATCATCTAAATGAAAATACAATCACAAAATAGTGTAGAATCTCTGTTTTACACACAATTATTTACCTGTGAAATATTTCAATGAATTATCAAATTCTAAATTTAAGAGTTTCAATTTAGTTAGATTTGGATAAGAAGTGACAAGAAGAAGACGTTCCATATAATCTAATTGAAGATTAAGACATTTCACATTGAATGAAATTCGAGGTAATATGTCAGTACAGAGTCGATCGAGTATTGAATCAAATATTGTCGAATTTTGAGTCATTGACATTATATCAAGAGTACTAGAAAATGAATCATGTTGTATGATGTTCGCAAGCCGTTCATTGTTGATGCCAAACAAAGAATAAAGAATATCAACATTATCTAGTTTCTTTAAAATAATTAATAGAATTTCATCTGGTAAATCAAGTAGTTGAATATTAGATCGGTTCATGTTCATTAACATTTGTCCTATGAAGCTATCAATTTATATATCTGACAATATTCTCTGTATATACTAGTCATTCTTGACGTCGATAAAGAATACAATGCACAATTTATTGAAAGGAAGGTCAAAGCAATTTATCAACCAATGAAATTATAAATGAGTTTTTATTTTTATTTTTATTTTTATTGTACACACATTCTCATCTCTTCCTTATCTTTGTTAGTGCAAGGTGGCAGAAAAAGACGAAATAGAACATGTTGAGAATTGAAGAATGAGCATTGTCATTGTCGTCGTAGAGCGAAGATACGGATATGAATGTAACTCTGAGTATCAGAAGAACACCTATACTCAAGAGCTATTCATATGTAAATCCTTATCTATATATCCTTATACTCTTGTCATGGCAAGAGTAAAGAAAAGAATTATTTTGAGAAAAAATATGTTGAGCAATTACGTAGAAAACAGAAAATTTATTTTAATACTGTTGTTTTTCTCAATGACAGTGATGTACTTTCATTTACAATAGTGCACTAACTTTTTCTGGTCTTTGGAAAGACAACATTATGAGTCCTTGATTTCTGTTCATTTAACAAAATCCTATTTTCATACAAAAATGTAAATTCTGAATATTTTTTTTTAAATCTTGAACTATTACACATGCTTTTCATATGAAATTAGTGTAATACTATCTTAACTTAAATAGATTTTTTGGTTAATTTTTTAAAGTAACATTGGATCTTTCGACTAATTTAATATTAGCAATATGTTTAATGGAAATTCTGGTAGATTTTAAGACGAAAATAGAAACTGCACGACGTGACGGACAAGACACACCAATTCATTGCGCACAATGCATAAATTTTCATTTAATGCACAAGAATGGAACTATGAAGAAAAATGAAGTTCATTATAATTATGGCAAAAAGAAATAAACACTGTTTTCAAACCAAAAGGGCCTTAATCAACAAGTAATATTCAAGATATACAAGAATGAGATTTTGATAGAACATGAATACTATTTATTTCTTTTCGATAATGTGCAAGTCTGGGGAAAAAATTTCCAAAGAAATTTTTCTTCTTTTATTGATAATCGAATGTGGATCAATGCAAAGTTAGATAGTTCATGTTTTGACTATGAAAATATGAGATGAACTTGCTGGTTCAAATGATTAATTTTTATTCAAAAAAGTACAGAAATAATTAGCAGTGCGCACTTTTGCATCAAAGTATTTAGAAAAAAAGGAGGAGTATAAGTGTGATTGCGATGAAAAAGTTTATATTTAACATGAAATTTACACAGAATTATACATTATTGTTCGAGATATGATTGTAGTCTTAGTCGTATAAAGAGAATTGTATTATTATCAAACAAAAATATAAAACTCTCGAAGATTTTATTCAATAATGCGTTGTAGAACTTTTCCTTTCGTAGGTAGTACAGTATAAATTTATTTTAAAGATGATGATGACAATATTTTCATCTTGTAGAGAATGCGATTAAAGTTAAGGAATCTGTAAACGAAAGTTTCTAGTCAGAAGAAAATGAAATAGTAAAGACCATACTTCGATCATAAATATGAGAATGACTGATTGACTTAAATCTATTTCATTCAAATGAGATAGAATTGAATGCAACGATGGATAACACGAATTTATGTTTTTGTCATGAACGAGAATAAAAAAATCCTTTTTTTCTTCTATAACATTGATAGAGGAAAGCAAAATATATGAACGTTTATTTTTCGACGTTCGCGAAATGCATCTCAACGTAGTATGTTATATTTTCTACTCATTCTTAAAATGAGGAATTTTTCTTTTTACAAACGTTTATTATGACGCATTATTCTGCTAGATTTTTTCCCAATTGCTCAAAAAACTACATTTATTTAGGTACTTATTTATCTATTCGATGGGTATTCAAGGTTTGCGAACGCTTAGTAAGGAAACATTTCTTAAGTTCAGAGGAATTCAACATCACAATTGACATATGATGCTCGATGGGGATTGAAGGTGTGGATATGTGTAATCTTCTCATATATTATTTACATCCACATCTACACGCTCAATCAAAATGTTCTATATGCATATAACTTGATTTTAAAAATGATTTTCCGGAAACTTCTTCAAGATCTCTTCATTTATGTGTACTTCCATTTTTCTGAACAGACAAAGTAAAATGAAACAAAAATGTTGCATACTTTTATGTGGGCTCGTATGATGAATCAAATGATATAAAACATTTGACTCTCTCACTTAGAAAAACAAGATATAATTTTTTATTTGACAAAAGCATCCAAGAGAGATAAGAACTAGTACTTTATGATCACCAGCTCATGTTCTATCAAATTATGTGCAAAAAAAGACAAAAAAATTTTACTTAAGTTTTGCGTTGCCTGTATCTCAATTAATATTTTTTTATTCATGATTATGGATGTTATTCTTGTTTAGTCAACAGTTACTTTTATACTTTTTATGGCACCACAAAAAAAGTTCATCTAAAAGTTAAATCTAAAGGCAGTTCCTCCAGTACGACTTTTAAATTTTGATTTTGATGCAATTAGTAGACGCAGTTGCTGAATTTGGTTTTCAATTGAATCCAGTTTTTCTTTTATTTGATTTCGTGCCACGGTCATATCCTCAAATATTCCATTTTTGTCCAATATGTTTTCTCGGATAACATGCTATTCATTAGATTGCATAAGAACCAATTTCGGTTCACCACCAAACCGTAGTACCCATTAAACAGGATCGCTGGTTTTCTTATATGTACTACAACCACGACGATGTTGAAGAATTTGATGAAATTGAACATCTGTAATGTCTGACAGATTCATATTCTCTATCACTGTCGGTGTCGTTTCGCCAATACGTCCATAAAATGCTTCAATATCTTTTGCATAAAAGTAAAGTTTTAGACGTTTACATATGAGTTCATACTGATCATCTATATTCAAAAGTATATTCTTCATTTCGATAAGTCGTCCATGTGCATCTCGATCTTCATCAACAAACATTTGTAGACATGTCTCTAATGATGCTTCATAGATTTGTAGATGGAAATCGTGAGTATCTTTCATTAGTTCTGCAGTTTTTCTGATAAAGAGCACTCAAATGTGTAAGAAAATCAGCCAAGAAACAAACACAATCCATACCAAGAATCGATCCATTTTGCTGACAGTTATCACTTGTTACAACTAAATCGCTACGTGCATTTATACCACTGAAAAATGTTGGTGTACCTGGTTGATAAATGCAGATTTTATATGGACCAATATTTGAATAAAAATATATGCATCGTCCATATTCATCCACCAAGGATGATGAATTTGAATCAATCTTATGTAAAAAACTCAAATTGTATTTTACTCGCCCTTAAAATTTATTGTAGAAAAACTCTTTGTTTAAGGCAGCAACTACTTGTGTAAAGTCTTTGAAAACATCACGATTTGCTCTGATGGCTTTAAATTGATAGTTCTCGAGTTTATCGATCAAGATACGTAATGTAGCTGATTGCTGTCGTGCTTTAGCTTTCGAAACTGTTGTCATTTATAAAAATATATCTAAATACAGTAATAGTAAAATTTATATAAAATAATTCTAAAATTAGCATTCTTTAACTTAGAGTTGTCCTGTCACTGGTTTGAAAGAGTAAAACGAAAAAAAAGGTTTTTATCAATCGTACAATTTTTTAAGCACACGTGTCACATTTCTATAGTCAACAAGAGAAAAATAATGTCATCGAAGCTTAACTTTCGTATATCTATAGCTAAAAAGAAAAAGAAATGGACATATTATGTTTTATTCAGGTATGGTCGTTATATAGCCATAGACAACATGAAAAAAAAAATTTTTTCTTATAAAATATTGACAAAAGGAAGAAAATTTCTTTCAATGATACATTTTTTTAGATATAAATGTCATATTCTAATCAAGAAAATATTCTCATATAGAATCTTTTTATGTTTAATACTCAAGCTTTTTATCCTTTTAGACTAAAATCTATTTATTTCATAATTTTACCATGAAAGTTTCTGTAATAAGTTGACACAAACTATGAAAAGGAAGAATTTCAGAAAATCGATATGCTGAAAAGTTACAATTATGTATAAATAAACTGATGAATTCTAGTCGTATTGATAAGATAAACCTAAGAAAAATGATTATTAATCCAACTGAATTCTGATAATACGTAAAATGTTGATGAAATCAGTTAATATTTACTTTCGATAATAATTTCATGTACGAGTTGAAATATGAAAAAATGTTAGTACGCCTTCCTCTTAATGCACACTTGCATGTAATGATTGAAAAATCCAAGCAAATGACAGATAATTTTTTGCATTTTGCTTTTACATTTATTTTTACTACCCTAGTTTGGGCTTACTTTGAAGAAAAGAAAAAAAATGATGGAAGTAAGTTAGAGTAAAAGGGTACAAGTGAAAAGAGTAAAAATGAAAAAAAACAAAAATAAAGTGAAGTAGTTGCACATCGTTTAGTGACACCGTGTTTGTAGAGGAGGAAAAGAAGAAATGTAAGAGATGAGTAATGAATGAAATGATATGCTTTGTTTTATGCGCGCAGCTATCCTAAACTCTGTCATTTTGATCAATACTATTGAAAATTCATAAATTCATGTTTGTTTTAATAGTAACATTCAATAGTATTGTTTTAGAACATGATTCTAAAAATTTGATCTCTCTTCACATTCTTTTAAGTACTATCGGTAATAATTTTCCTAAATTCAGTCGATAAAAATAGCTTTCATAGTATTTGGTTTGTATCTATATACACAGGCATAGTTTAGCTGTAATATGATGGATAATTTTATGCTAAAAGCAATAGTAAAAAACATTTTAACATGATCTCAAAAATGTACATATTCAATAACATTTTAGGAAATATATTTTCATTTAAAAAGTAATATGAAGATATAACATATGCTTTTGTTGTTTAGTTAAATCGAGATGACTTAAGTTAAACTTTCAAACGAAATAGATTACAATACAGAATACATATAAAATTATGTGTAGAGCATATATGCGAAGACAACTGAAGTAAAGACTGCTTTATCTGAATATGAAAGAAGTATTAGTAGTATAAATATACATTTATGTATATATAACAAAAGAATGATACACGTTTCTCATAATATACAATTATGTGCTATTTGAGTATTATATCGAAGAGTTTTCATATGTTTGAAAGTTTTTAGATCAATTCATCAAAATCGAACTTCAGATGTAGCACAATTATAGTTAGTTCTTCTAAACCTTTTTGTTGAAAATCGTTGCTGATATTATATTTCTAACGTATTTTTTAGTTTTAAATAATAACCGATACGTTGAAGCTCTTCATAACGCAAAACTACAAACATTTTTCAATACAATATTCCATTCTGTAACGACGTACATTCTATTTTTTCTGTTTTGACATTTGTTTTTAATTCAATAAATATTGGCTGGAATTTATAAAGCTCATATCTACTCCTTACTAAAAGTATTTGGATGTTAGAAGACCGATAAACAGTTTCAAAATAATATCAAACAAAAATACCTTCCTCAAACGTTTAATAGTTAAAAAATAGAATTCGTACTATTTATCATTGACAAGATATTGAAACATATTTAGTCATTTTTGAATACACTTTTTATATTTTTGTAATTATCAATCCAATTCATACAGAAGCAAAACTCATAATTGATCATGTTGATAAGAACAAAATTGAATATCACGTAATTCGAAATATGCCTTCTTATTCTTCTCATACATTCTTCCTGATGTATACATATTTTTTTCTTTTTTTTATATTTTTTTAAATACCAAATATTACTGAACCTAAAGCTAGTTGTCATGTCCATTGGACATGATGCATCCTTATCTATGTTATGTTGTTTCTTTTCATTCACTTGCCTCTCTTGTCTTTTCCTCCTCTCACATTTTTGTTGTTCGCCTCTGATTCTGAGTAGGAAAGAATGTGTTGGAACGTGATGTATACATGAGAAAAGGCGTTGAATACGGCTGATATGTATTGTGTCGTTTCTGTGTGTTTTTTTTTCAGTAGTGAAATAAAAGTTTTCATTCTTCACAATCATCAAAATTATTCCAAATAATTTATTAAGAAGAAGGGTAAGCTACTCATTACTAATATAACTTTTTTCTTTAAATAAATCAATACTTAAAATTTCTCATATTCACACATTTTTATTCTATACATTAAATGGATATCGATTATACCCCGGATATAAGTAATCTCGACGTAGAGGTTACAAAATAAATTATAAATAACGTTAAAACTAAGGCAGTAAAACGCTGTTTTATAGTCGTTTTGGACCATTTAAGATGTCGTTTCCGATGGTCGGAATGACCGTCCTGGGTAGATAAATACCAAGACTGCACGGCTCGGAGATATCGATTCCAATATCTTAGATCTGGAAGCCCACATTAGTCAATTACGAGCAACGCGAACAGGGCTTGAAATGGAGATTAATGCTCATCGTGCTGAAATAAGTATGAACTACTTTTTATCATACATTCTTCTGAAGAAATAGTTAAATTAAGTCTTTTCGACGTTTTACCACTATAAAATGACATTACGAGAATTAAATTTGAATGCACATGAAATACTCTACATTCCTTAGTAGTTCAACTAGTAGTGGGTATTATTTATTAACAGAGGGTAGATATATTGTTCATCGAACTATACATCATATTTTCGGAGATCATATATGACTTGGTCAAATCGGATCTATCATTTTATTAGTTCCATGAAACTGTTGGAAGCTGTCACATGTTATTTAGATACTGCAGTGTATAAAAGGAACTTTTAGACATATGCTGGATCGTAGAACAAAACTAAATGAAATATTTTCATAAGTATCAGAAACAAATTAATTATCATTCATTCTAGTTGAGCATTTAGTCTAACAAACAATTGTAGATAAGGACTACGCAAAGGATGTTCATGAGAATAATCAGTACGCTTTAGAGACCGGCGTGACCACCGTGAATCATGGTGGTCACGGACACCGCCGTGGCTCACGACCCGTGACTGACAGGGGTGTAAGTAAGGTGTCGGAGCAGGGGGGGTGTAGGGGAGGGGGGGCGTAAGCCTAATTTTTCTATTTTAATGGTTAAAAAAATTGAATTTTATAAAAGCAGGGGGGGCGCAAACCCTTTTTTCCTATTAGTTTTTGGGAGCAGGGGGGGGGGGGGGTTATGTGCCCCACGCGCTCCCTCTATTTACGCCACTGGTGACTGACACCAAACTGCCGTGACCGTGACGTCACCGTGACCAAAAAAAGTTGGTCACGCCGGTCTCTAGTTGGAACACAATTTAAAAGTATTTTTAGTTATAGGATCATTTTTTTAATGTAATTCCGTTACATTGATTAATTAACCTTTACGACATGTATATGATGTATCATAGATGTGTTATACAATGAACTGGCTGTCGCTCATTACGTGCTAATTACTTTGGTGACCAAAAGTATATTTTCTCTATGTATTGCAATCTTCCTTCATATTGAAATTTATATAATACGATCCACAATATTTTTTTTTCTTTTTAGTACAATATCAGTATTTACAACAACAACAACAACAAGATGAAAAGAACAAACAGAACAATTAATTTTCTTTCTTCTTCTTCGTTTTTTTCTTTTGTCTTCCATCCTTGTTTCTTTCTCTTTCTTTCTTTCACCTTCAATGCGCAGGACGATGGTTCCTGAAGCAGATTCCATGAACTTCTGACGGAATCCCTGAAGAAACTCACCATTTTTAGGTGGAACCCGCCAGGAAAATGCCAAAAATCCGATGGAGAAGTGAGGTAACCGTATTCGGCTGCCGGTTTTGACATGTTCCTGTCGGTTCCGGCCCAAATCAGATAAATCCGGTCATTGGATCCGTTCATCGGGAATACTGCTTCCATGAAATCTTCGGAATGCTACGGAACCGACCGTTTCCGTGCCGGATTGTTCGACTTGGGAAGGGTAAGCTAGTCATTACTAATATGACTCTTTTCTTTAAATAAATCAATACTTAAAATTTCTCATATTCACACATTTTGATTCTTTAGATTAAATGGATATCGATTATACCCCGGATATAAGTAATCTCGACGTAGAGGTTACAAAATAAATTATAAATAACGTTAAAATTAATTTCCTATCTTTAGATAAATACCAAGACTGCACGGCTCGGAGATGTTGATTCCAATATCTTAGATCTGGAAGCCTAAATTAATAAATTACGAACAAAGGAACAATTCAAGTATCACTTCGTCTTGAGGGTGTGGGTGTGAGTGTAAATGTAGAACTACAGTACATTACTCACAGCCACAGCCACACCCGTGCCGACACCCACATCCAGACCCGTACCAGCACCCACACCCAGACCGACACCCACATCCACACCCTCAAGAATGTGCAAAATTAAGAATAGCTTTACTTTTAAATAAATATCCAGGTAAATTCATTGATCAACAATTTAATCGTGTCCTACAAAAGTTTAAAATTAATGAACTATTAACAACTTCCAATTATAGTACATTACGTCAAAGAGTAATAGATATTCCTTATCAAGAAAAAGTACCAATTGATTATACTAAAACAATGTTCGTTCATTTCACTTATTGTGCAAATATGCGAACATTTCCAGAAAAATTCCATGTACTTTGGATTCAGTACTTTGGTGAATCTCCAATTAATGAGATTCTCCCAATACTTGTTACTCACAATTTTGACAATTTACAACGGTGTCTAGTTCATACTCGACAATCTCAATTACCGTTCGGCTAAACGAGTTAATGCTATGTTTAAATATCAAAGTGTATTTACATATATTTTTTGCTTCTATTTTCTCCATTTGTCTTTTACATTCTTTTTCATTCTGTTTATGTATTATATATTATTTATCCGTTTCATCTGCTTATTAGTTTATTTAGTTTTTCTTTATTTCAATAAAATAACACGAGACGCATCGGTGAAGATTAACTCTGCATTCATTTATAATTATTAATTTCATAAGCACACTATATACACCTCAAATTATAATTCGACCAAGATCGATTGCTAAAAAGCAAGAGTCGGGACTAGCAAACTGGTTTATATCTTAGTTATATAGATCAATTTGTTTTCTATCTGTAAAATGCTTTCATAACTATGATGAGCATTAGTATTAAGTAATCCCATGCTAATACTAAGTCGACACTTCTATGATAGCTCTTGTTTTTGTTATTGTGCTTAAAGATGTTTTGTGCACAGTCCTGATGAGTGTTTCATTATTTTAATAAATAACACAAAAACGCTTCGGTGAAGCGAAATTCTACATTTATTTTTATATAAAATTACACTATTAATGACAAGACAGTCGATTGCTAAAAAGCAAAAGTTAAGATAAGCTGATTGATTTGTGTATTATAGCTACACTGGTCTATCTGTTTTTTTACAATTGATTTACGATCAATTAATGTCTTCTTGTGAGACGTATGCCAGTCTACTGATTGTGTTGCCATCGATTATTGAATAAAGTCATGAGCTGACCACGAAATAATTCACTCGATAATATAAAAAGGTAAAAACTTGTAGAAGCACCTGTGAGACACAGTGTACCAGCTATTTGAAAAAACAAGTTGTCTTTGGCAAGCTGGAGAGCATCTAACACCATATAAGCCCTCACTGATCCATAGATCCAGTAGATCGAAAGAGGAGCTGATGTCAAACTGAAATAAATACATTGAATAATCATCATTTGAATTAATTGTCGCTCTGTCGTCTTTTGACGTCGCAACTGCTCTCGCTGCTGATTAGTTTGAGCTTCAATTTGATTGCTTTGAGCGCCAACTCGTCTGACAGATTGTTGAACATGTTTAACAGTGAGCGATCCAAAAGTAAGCATCACAATCGGTGGACCCAAGCTGAATATAATCAAATTCCAAATACCATTAAAAGCAGGAAAAGGGCCCTGGTTTGTAGGACATTTATAATCTGCTGTTTGTACGAGTTTATATTGGATAGGCACATAAATATAACTGAGAGCGATAATAATAGTTATGAGGAAAATAGCGCGAGAAGCAATGCGAACAGTACACAGAGCACGCATGGCAACAGACGTTGAACTGCACAAAAATCTATAAAAAATAAATAAATATTATGACAAGTTCATTTAAAATGTTGCTTAAAAGTAATCGACGAACTATATCAATGAAAACTAATTGGAACTAGAATAACATTGCTATAAGTCTAAATCTAATGAAAGACACCGATGATTCTTGTTGATTTTTTTAGTGATGTAGTAATTTGGTCTACCATTATGTTTTCCACTATCATTCGATTCTTTTTAGATGTCAAATTAGTGACATTGCTCTAAGGAAATTTAGAATAAGAAATTTCATCTGTTTAATAACTTTTACTTTATTGTACGAGCTGATGAGAGTGAGTAATTCGACTGACTTTAAAAAATGTGATATATGAGAAAATATAGAAAGAAGAATTCTTTTGATCGCGCGGACCGACAATTTTGACTTGAAAGTATCAAGTGCATGAGTTCGTGCCTTAGTAATTACGTGCAATTTGCATCAGTTTTTAACGAGTTAGAGTTGTATAATACAATCTCTCTTCAGTTCTACTGGGAAAGACTATGTTAAATTTTCGGATCAAAAACCTCAATTTTTAAAAGCAAACGGTTAAGACACTGCAGACTGTAGAAGTAAATCTTCAATGACCACTAAAACAGGGTTGCTAGACTCGTTGCGATAGAGTTGAAAAATATGTTTTAAAATGCAGTACAAGAAGAGCCTGTAAGAGAGGGAGATTTGTCAAACCTCCGACAGAAGAGACATTTACATAAATATAAGTTTTACACGAGTAAAATGAAAATTTTTAAAGATAACTAATCATATCTAATAAACCGTTTCGAGCCGACTTGTTTTTATGTTTAGTGACTGGACAAATTCTTATTCGACTCTATGTTACAGCTGAGATCTTGGGGGAAACAGCGAACTTCAGGAATTCAAGACGTCACCGGACTTCGTCCATAGAGACTTTCAATTTTCACAAAATTTCCAAAGACTTCACGAGTCTTCATGAGCCTAGATGGACTTCAAAAGACTTCAGAACTTCATCAAACTTCATAAGCGAAGTCCAAGTTGTTTCTCCCTAGACTGAGATGTCCTACGTCAAAGGAAAGACCTTATCTATAATTCAAAAAAGAAAGCCAGGACACTGTGTTTAGTGTTTGGATCGTTACTTATCTTTACTATACATTCGCGACACTACTTACCGATCGATAGAAGCGAGAGCGATGAGCCAAGATGTGAGAGCTCTACAAGAACAAAGAAATTAAATTCAAATAATCTCTTACAAACATGTTAACTACTTTGCCCAAAACAGGAGAAATGTAAGAATTTTGCATGATGCAATTGAGTATCCAATAACATCAATGTTATATGCACTTTGAAGGAGGCGCAATGAGCAATTTGCATAGGTAACAAAAACTCCAGCTATTATAGATGCAAAGAAATAGCACACACATGAGTTCGAACGGAATCTTGGACGTGTAAACACGTAAATACTGAGTGGGTGACCAATAGTGCCAAGACAAATCAATAAAAAATACCAAAATCGGATAAATGTTATCGTACTATAATTTACAGCATCAACTTCAGCAGTACTCGCATTTAATGATGACATATTATTGATGAATAATAGTTGCAAGTGATGAGAAGATAAAAAATATCTGCGACAAAAGTGATGACGAAACTCTTCAAATGCGTGTTTAATACTATTTTCTTTTCATCTCAATATATAATGTGACTTAACATCCTGGAAAAACATCTCCATAGAATTTATTCATGCTCGTTTTCTAAACAAATTGTGACAGCATAAACATTTTTTACGCATATTTCTTCCATACATACAAGTGTTATATATGCTTCGATGAAATCTTTCTCTTTCTCTCTCGTTATGAATAATGTCGCCAGAAATCATGTTTGTCCCACTTAAATATAAGCTCGTTGGTGTTCAATCAAATGAAAAAAAAAATAAAAGAAATAGTTTCTAAAAAAAACATTTTTTTCACAAGATAAAATCAGTTTCACGAGGAAATTGCATTGACACTTGTAGCCACTATATCAGTCATTTTATTTTGCTAATAATAATTTGTAATATACGTGAGAGGAAACAGTAGGCTTGAAGTAAATAATTGAGACATGGAAAAATTCTTACGCGACAGAATTCAGTATTTTATAAACTTGTCTATATCAAGCAGTCGATAAATAACAACGTAACGCTCATCACTACGACTCGCTTGATCCTCGACTAAATTCTGTTTTGAGAACTATTGCTGAACATACATGTACATACAGAAATACTATAATATTGTCAGTGACAACCATTTTGAAAAAAGACTAGAGCTTCTGTTTCCTGTTCAGATTTTCTAAAGTGAATCGTAAGAGACAGACAGTAGTCGATCGTCAGCATCTCTATGAACTGTCACTCTCAGCTATGCTATTTTGTATATGATATGATTTTGATGTGAAATAATGCCTCATTTTCTTGTTGGAAACATTTGTTAGTGGTATCGATGAGACCTATGAAAAATGCACTTTATATTCACATGTTGACTATCAACCCTTCTTGTAGTGAGTAAAATAAGAAGATTAAAAAGTGTAAGACAATTGGATCAGTGTTTTAGATGATACCATCTTGATGGTGTGGGTGTAGGTGGATTTTCTAGTCATTCATCACCTACATTCATCATCCACATTGAAGACCGAAATACCTTATTTGGACGTCACTCCAAGAATTCTTTTCTCTTATGTGCAAATTCGCTCCTACCGTGGTGAGAAAAAAACCACATTTGTTTAGCTTGCATCGACAGTTCTCATGACAGCCGAGTATGTGCGCTTTTTCTTTCTCTTCTCATGTGTTTGTTGTTTTTGTTACAAATTCTGAGAATTCATTTTTTGTTATTGTGTCCTTGGTTCGGTAAGGCATCTTATTTTGTTTATAATTTACTCCACTCACAAGGGAAATGTGGCAAAGTCTTCCTTTTTATCTGTCTTAATGAGTAACCTTCATCGGTGAAAGCAAACAAATCGAAAATAATCAGGGTGTGGGTTGGATAGGTAGGTGCGGGTGATGAATGACTAGAAAATCTATCCACCACCCACACCCTACTTAATAGAAAATAACTAAAAATAAGACATTTTTTTCTTCTTTCATTTATTTTCAAGATATTCTTTATTATTGAAAATGCAAAG